AGAGCAGGTAGATCAGTGCTTCACCTGCAACTGTGCCTGGGGCCTTGGATAGTGAGGAGGGAGGAGGTAAACTTGCAAGTGTTGCACCTTCTGTGATTACATGGGAGGATGCCAGGGAGATGTCAGGAGTGCAGAAGGAGTGGACTAGGGTCTCCCAGAGACAATGGCCCTTGTGAAATGCTGACCAGGGAAGATAAGGAAATATACAATCTGTAGTGACATTTTGCTGGAGGTGGTGGAAATGATGGCTTATGACCTTTGGATGTGGATGCTGCAGGAGTGGAAAGTGAGGAGCAGGGGGCCCTATCATTACTGAGGGAGGGAAGAGAAGGGGTGAGGGCAGAATTGCAGAAAATGGGTAGGATACAGCTAAGGGCCTTATTGTGGTGGGGTATTTTCAGTTGTGGTGAAAGGTGAACATTTCTAAGGTCTGTCTGGAGACAGGGGCATCAGCAGAACAGATGTGATGGAGACTGAGAAAATGGGGGAATGGAATGTTTGCAGAAAGCTGGGTGTGTGGGTGTATAGTTCAGGTAACTATGGGTGTCATTGGGTTTGTATTAGATATCGGTGGCCAGTTAATTGTTGATGAAAGATGCAACTTCTGCAAAATTTAACCAATTTAGATTAACTATTTTGAGGCAAAGCTGACTCTTCAACCCCCAAAAACAAATCAACAAGCCTGCATTATGAGTGTCATAAAATCATATCTAATTATTGCGTCTTCTGTTTATAAAGAAAGGAGAAAGAACTCACCGTTCACATTATCTTATTATCATTGGAATATCGAAAATAGCATCAAAATTAGTAAATTGCCATTGAAGCTGCATTCTTTGCTGTTACATACCCATATGCATTAGCCAGGTTTCAAGCAACGAGTATGAAAATACAAACATACATACAGATGATTTATTTTCTTTGAAGCATAACGCAGTTGAGATCAATATAATAAGAGAACCTTCTATCCTTCACATAGAATCTTGAGGCAAGTGTGGCCTCAAGTTGAACATCTCCCGTAAAGTCATCTCTCACATGACAGCACTCCCTCTGCATTGCAAAGTTTCAACTTAGGGAATATGATCAAGTGCAGGAGTGGTGCTTGCTGACACAATTTTATTGTGACGGAAGAGTGTTACCATTGAGCTAAACTGATGTCTTGAAAGATTGCAAACAACATTCCCTGTCATTTTATTCCATCTGTGCACACTCCCTGGTTCGTATGTAGCACCTACTTCCAGAACCAGACATCAGTGCCATGATCGGTTATGCTGACACTGATCACTATGCTTGGAACCTTGGAGTGGCAACTCACATTTTCAGCAATGGTAAGGGATTGACAATAATGCTGGCCTTTCCATGGCTCTTAAATCCCATGAGTGAATTAAAATAAAGGTTGTGCAAACCGCATTGGATAAGTTGAAAAATAATTTACTTTTTACTTGTTGACCTGCATTGACCACTGGTCTGACAGCGTAAATTTAAAATGTTCATCCTTGTTTGCAGTCATGCTCTGGCCTCGCCCTTTACTTTCTCTGTAGTCTCCTCCAGCCTTACAAATCTCCAGGACATCTTTGCTCCTCCAGTTCAGGCCCCTTAAAAATTTCCAATTTTAATCCCCCTAGCATGGGCGGCCAAGCCTTCACCTGCCAAGTTTTTAAGCGACGTTATATGCTCCCCAGTCTCTCTTGCTTAGCTCTTTAAGGGCACTCCTTCAAGTCTATGGCTTTAATCAAACTTTTGATTATCTGCCCTAGAATTTCCTAGTGTTAATCTATTTGATATTTCCCCTGTGATGCATCTTGGAACATTTTACTGTGTTAAAGATGCGAAAACACACAAATCACTATTGTCAAATTTCTCCATTCTAAACCATTAAATTCATTTGTAATTATTTATGGAACATTCAAAAAATACCTATTTAGTACTGTGCAAAAATTTGTGCGTGCTTATTTTTGTCAGTAGCATATATTATTGAAAAAAAAATTCATACTATGTGGAACAGGAAGAAAAAAATCTTGAAGTGTTTGTGTAGGATGGGGAATGTGGACCTGCAATAAAAATATAGGGAAGTAGGCAGCAAATGAGCAAACGAGACCTCAAATGTAGTTATCTTTGGATTATGCCTGGTGTAATGCACAAGAAAGTACAGAAATAGGAAGATAGGCAGATGAATGCATGGCTGAAAGATAATGGAGGATAGAGGGCTTGAGATTCCTAGAACATTGGGACTGAGTTCTTTGCAGGATGTTTTGCTAGTGTTGCTAGGAGGACTTTATCCTAACTCAGCAGGGTTGTGGGAACCAAGAGAGGATATTAAAGTGGAATACCCAGGTGCACAAAATACTTGGAGAGATGGATAGCACTGGTATAGTGAATGTCAGAGTGAAGTAGAAAGTAATGAAGTCTAAATTAAGTTTAGTATACACGTATGTAAATAGTAGTCTGTATGACTGAGGAGTTACAGGCACAGATTTATATGTATAAATATGATGTTGCAATAGTAAGGAGTCCTGACTCAAGGAAGGGAGAACTGTGTGTTAAATACACTAGGTTAAGGTGTTCAGAAAAGATTGAATGGAATGGATGATTGAGGGTTGGCTGTATTGGTTAGGGAGAGCATTGCAGTGACTGAGTAAGAGAGTATACCCAAGGGTTTGAGAACAGAATCAATCTGGCTACAGCTGAGAACCATAAAAGGTTGCAATTACATTGCATGGTATGGTGTATTGGAAAGATGCAGAGGAACAGGTCTGCAGGGAAATTACAGAGATATGCCAACTTTATAGAGTGGTTAAACTGGAAACTTTAATGTAAACTTGGATAGTGATAACGTTAAAAAGGAGCAAATGATCCTGCACTGTATTCAGGAAAATATCCTATGCCAGTATTTATCCAATCCACCCAGAAAAAATGCAGTGTGACTGCAAATGATTTGAAGCAAATAGATCAAATGTCAGTGGGAGATCAGTTAGGAGACAATAATCATTGTATTGTAAGATTTAGGATGAGGGTATTAATTAGGAGGTCCAGGATAAGACTAATTAACCAGGATAGTGCTGGCTTCAATAGGATAAGAACCAAATTTGAATAAAGACTGAAATGAAAGGCTGATGGGAAAACTGAGATGAGGAGAAATTTCTTCACCCAGAAAGCGGTGGGCCTTTTTTGTTTAATCATTTACGGGATGAGGGCATCGCTGGTTGGGCAGCATTTATTACCTATCCCTAATTGCCCAGAAGGCAGTTAAGAGTCAACCACACGGCTGTGGGTCTGGAGTCACAGGTAAGCCGACCAGGTAAGGATGGCAGTTTTCTTCCCTAAAGGGCATTAGTGAACCAGATTGTTTTTTCCTGACAACTGACGATGGATTCACAGTCATCATTAGACTCTTAATACCAGATATTTTTATTGAATTCAAATCCCACCACCTGCCATGGAGGAGGCAGATCAATTTCAATGTGGAAAAGTATTGTGAAGAACAGGGCAGACAATTCAAAATAGGCGTGCAATTCTAACGGGCGTTCAGGAGCTGAGGGTCTTGAGCGTATATGTGCATAAATCACTAAAGGATAGAATTTCAGAATCCCCACAGTGTGGAAAGACTATTCAGCCCATTGAGTCCACACCACCCCTCTGAACAGCATCCCGCCCAGACCTATCCCTGTAACTCTGCATCTCCCATATCTAACCCACCTACGGGGCAATTTAGTCAATCAACCCAACTTGTGGGAGGAAACCAAAGCACCAGGAGGAAACCCACACAGACACGGGCAGAACGTGCAAACTCCACACAGACAGTCGCCCAAGAATGGAATCAAACCTGGGTCCCTGGTGCTGTGAGGCAGCAGTGCTAACCACTGAGCCACCATGCTGCCCCTAAGATTGAGAGAGCAGTTAAACAAGTGTGGGGTATTCTAGCCTTTATTAATAGGGGCATACAATGATGAGCAAGGAGTTCTTGCTAATCTTATACAAGACATTGTTAGATCTCAGTTGGAGAATTGTGTACACTTCTGTGTTTCAAACTGTAGGAAGGATATGAACACATTGGAGAGCGTGCAGAAAAGATTTACAAAAAATGGTTCCATGGATTAAACTTCAGTTATAAGAATATGTTAGAGAATTTGGAACTCTTCTTGGACAGAAGTAGACGGAGAGAATATCTGATAGATACTTTCAAAATCATGGGTGGTCTGGATAGCTTAGAAAGAGGGAAACTGTTCCCCTACATAAAAGGCAGAGGACACTGATTTAAAATGATTTGCAAATATGACACATGTCAAAACTTTTTCACTCAATCAATGGTTCAAGTCTGTAATGCACTACCCGGATATATGGTTGAGATAGAGTCAATGAGCCTTTCAAGTAGGCTTTAGATGATTATTTGCATAGACGTAATGTGTAAGGACGTGGAAAGTAGGTGGTAACTTAGAATATTCTTTGGAGAGCTGAGTGGCCACTTCTACACAATAATAGTTCTAATGCTGTGTTGAACTTGATTTGCTTACACTCCAAATTACTTTAAAAATAGTTTTCCTCATGCAACTCAGTGTTGACATTTCATTATTAATGACTGTCAAAGATTAAACAGCCCTCTATCGTGGCTTTGTATAAAATAAGAAAGCTTAATCAATGGAATATAATGAATAGATGCAATTTGTTATGTGGAGATGGAGACAGAACGCAATCAAAGGTTAATTTTTCAATGTCAAATAGAGACTCAATATATTTTCCAGGAAAGTATACAGGAATTCAATTTGTTTATTACTCAAAGGTTAATTAACAAATGAGTGAATGAAGAGGAAGATAATCTCAGTGATTTCTCATGACTTCTGCCAGTTAAGTAAAGCTATTTTTAGCACATTATATGTTTGATCGGAGACTAGCCCTCCTACTAAGCAAATATTTCACATGCAAGATTAAAATACACTCTGAAATAAAATGTCAGCATTGTATCATCCAAAAACCTCTGCCATTGACTTTTTATACTTCTTTTATAGATTGTTCTCTGGAGATATAAATTTTCACAGCTGAAAGGCTCTTCAGATGATGGAAAAAGCAAGATAAAGTTTTTATTCCAGAACATTGACACTAAACAAATTGAAGCAAAGGTAATGTAGTGTGAAACAGGTGTTGGACCAGACAAATCTGCACTTTTTTTTTAAAATGTGCTGCATTTGTATTTTTTGTGGCATATTTTCATCAAATTGAAAATAAATCAGGCTAACTGTCCACATCACAACTGATTGAAGAAAATGAGGTGAACAATTGAACTTTCCCAAGACAATATTAACCTGAAAAGTACATGCGTTATTCATTTAGATACTTTGGCATCCTCCAGTGAAATGATTAGAATGCTTGTGTGTTCAGCTGGAGAATGGGCAGTTGAGGTCTTCAGAGGGCAGGTCACATGGATCTCCATGTGCACTCTTAATCTAAAATCTATTCAGATTGGCTTCTGGAAATCAGGCCACTGACATGTGACATAAATTGAATAAATTATATGCAGCAGTACTATTTAGTTTCTATGGAGAAAGTATATTTAAAAAACTATTTTGCATCAGAGAAATGTCCCTGATGTGTTTTAGGAAAGGAGCATTTTAGCAGTATACTTTGATCAACAAAACAAAACTGTGCATACACAATTCCACTAAAAGCTTTCAGAGATAAACATTCAATCCAAGGGCTTAATTTTACCTGCTTCCTGAAGTTGGGCAGGAAGGGTGGAAGGGGCATTAAATGGTGGCAGAAAGGGTTTGGAGTGAAATGATGTCTTAACTAAAAGCTCATTGTGCAGATGCTGGAAATCTAAACTAAAAATAGAAACTCCGAAGCATCTGTGGAGAGAGAAACAAAGTTAACTGAACATTTCTCTTAACTGTGAGATATTCTTATAATGGGGAATGGCTGTAGTTCAACTGCCCGCTGCCCAGAGATGGACAACTAATTATTCCAGTTGGTTGGTCAATTAGTAGCCACTTCACAATGACATGAGAATTTGTCAATATCATTACTGTGTCCCCCTAGGCCCTCACCACTGAAAGGTAAACTGAGGCAGCATCCTGAAGGTGGAGTCTGTTGATTTTGGGGGTTTGTGATCACAGTTACCAAATATAGTCAGTCAAAAAATTTGTAGCAATTTTCTGATTATAAAGTTAGTTAATAAGTAACAGATTCGGGATGGTGTTAGTTAATTAGACAAAGAAAAGTATACAACCGTGCCAATTGGGAATGGTTCACTAATATTAGATGACAAACAGGCTGTTACTGCAGCTGTTAGTCTCTTTAAATTTCTGAAGGCAGAATCCTGCTCTGTAGCCAAGATGTTAGGGAACTGATCCCCGAGTCATTCTTCTCTTTGGCCCATCTTGCATCTGGATAAGGCAGCTGTCTGAGGTCCGCTGGATGAGGTCTGCTGCCTAAAAGGTCTGCCTGATGAGGACTCCCAACTCTTATGAGAACTTATTGATACCCTATTTCTAGGGTTACACAGCTCATGCTGTGTCAAACAATTGTCTGAATCCTTTTGGCCAATGACCATGGGACAAATACTCATAACATTGGATGACCATTGTCCTCTTGCTCACCTCCATTTAAAGATTAGTTTTCATTCCTTCTGAGAACTGAACCTTCTTATTTTTGATAATGTTACACTCATAATAGGATAATGTGGTTTCCAAGAAGTCATTTATTTATACTTGAGGAAGACACTTAACTGCTGTAACACAGTTAAATGCTACACAGGAAATACTGAAAACAGATTTGTGAAAGCACACCTGTTTAAAGAGATCTCCAGTTTCCAATAGGGCCTTCCATTCTAACTAAAGGAGGAATTCCTCATCAATAAAAGCTGCCTTCATTAGCTCTGATGCTGGCTGTGGAGAGTTTGATCATCAGGCTAGCCTTGTTGGCCCCAGTGCATGAAAAAATGTTCGTATCCATTCTCTTAGGGCCTGTCAATATATAGACACCTTATTCTTCATCATCCAACCTCAGGCACCTTTGGCCTTCTCACTTGGCTTCAATTGGATAACAATCACTGGAACGGCTACTTAATTCACCACTGATAAAATTAGTCAATCAGGCATGTGACATACACAATGGCATTGAAATTCATGTACTACATTCCTGATTTGTGTTGTCAGTATATGTATATCTACCCTTTTGTGCACATCTTGAAATGATTTTTCTCCATTGTTGATGACCATGCTTTTAACTTCCTCAGCTCTATGTTCTGGAATTTCCTCCCTAAGTGTCTTTGAATCCGTTGTCTCCTTTAGAACTCACCTCTCGTCAAGCTTTTCATGTCTTCTAGTGTTTTCTTCTCATAGCGTTGGGTTGATTTTTGTTGAGTCAGAGCTCTGTAAAGTACCTTGGAATGTTTCGAACATTAAAGACACTGTGTAAATGAAAGCTGCTGTTACTGTTATTAGTTTTCCATATACAGTGCAGTTATCAGTCAGCAATCAATGGGAAGGTGTAAGACAGGCCTGGAGCAACGTGTATTTTTAAGGTGATTGAAGAACAAAGATCAATACAGCACAGGAACAGGCCCTTTGGCCCTGCATGCCTGTGCCGACAATGTTTTGCCCTTCCATACAAAAACTGTCCTAACTACAGAATTGGTATCCCTCTATTCCCTTCCTTTTCATGTATACGTCCAGATACTTCTTCAATGCTCCTATTGTGTCTGCTTCCACCACCTCCTCTGGCACCGTGTTCCAAGCACTCACCACCCTTTGTGTGAAAAACATGCCTTGGACATCTCTCTTAAACTCCACCCTCCCCTCCCCAGACCTTGAACCTGTGTCCTCTAGTAATTGACCCCTTTGCCCTGGGCAAAACCCTCATACTTTCCAATTTATCCATGCCAGTCACAGTCTTATAAATTTCTCTTAGGTTGCCCATCAACCTCCTGTGTTCCAATGAAAACAAACCCAGTCTATCCAACCTTTCTTCATAGCTAAAATCCCCCATACCAGGTAAACCTTTTCTGTATCCTCTCTGAAACATCCACATCCTTCTGGTAGTGTGGTGACCAGAACACAATGTTGCAAGTGTGGCCTACCTAAAGTTCTATAAAGCTGCAGGATAGCTTTTCTGTCCTTATACTCAGTACTCCTTCCAATGAAGGAAAGCATGCCATAGGCCTTTTTGACTACCTTATCTACCTGCGCTGCCACCTTCAGTGACCTGTGGACCAAATCCCTCTGCATATCAATACTGCTAAGGGTTCTGCCATTCACTGTATAATTTCCACCTGTACTTGACCTTCCAAAATACATCACCTCACATTTGTCTGGATTAAATTGCCTCTGCCATTTGCCTGTCCATACTTCCAACTGTTGCTTTCCTGCTGTTTTCTCTGACAAACCTCCTCACTAACCACAACCCCACCAATTTGTGTATTGTTTGCAAACTTACTAATTAGACCAGCCACGTTTTCCTCCATTTATATCATTTATATAGACCATGAACAGCTGAAGTCCCAGCACTGATCCCGGTGGAACATCGCTAGTCACAACCCTCCATTCTGAAAAGCATCCTTCCACTGCTACCCTCCGTCTCTTGTGACTAAATCAGTTCTGAATCCATCTTGCCAGCTCATGATACCATGTGACTTCACCTTTTGTACCAGTCTGCCATGATGGACCTTGTCAAAGCTTATGGCACAATATTCCATGTCTTTCTAAAAAATGTCTTTATTGTGGGTGTGTAAATATAAAAAATACATATAAGACAAAAGTAAGCACTACAAACTTAACACAGTAGCTTAATATGAGCTGTGCTATGAACTCAGTTCTACATTCTACTTCTTTCCAAGAGTTCACTTATTTTGTATAATCTTGAAGGTTCATTCATTTATCCAGGCAGCTAAACTAAAAGTTATGCCATGGCCCTCTGGAAATTTCTTGAATTCTCCTTAGAAATCCAGCTGTTTCTTGAGGCACTAAATTCATGGGAAACCTCCATTAGCTTTTGACCAACAAATCCTTCTGTTTTACATTTTTGCTTTTCTGCTTTTGGCTTTTTTTTTCCAAATTTTTTTAGGGACCATAATGTTTTAAAAGAAAATCCTAACAGAACAATGGCACAATATTCTGTGTCTTTTTAAAAAGAGTCTTTATTGTGTGTGTATATATATATAATATATATAAGACAAAAGTAAGCACTGCAAACTTAACACAAGAGCTTATTAAGAGCTGTCCTGTGAATTCAGTTCTACATTTTACTTCCTTCCAAGAGTTCACTTATTTTGTATAATCTTGAAGGTTCATTCATTTATCCAGGCACCTAAACCAAAAGTTATGCCATGGCCCTCTGCAAATTTCTTGAATTCTCCTTAGAAATCCAGCTATTCCTCGAGGCACTAAATTAATGGGAATCCTCCATTAGCTTTTGACCAACAAATCCTCCAGTTTTCTTTAAAGACCTCAAGTTGCAACTGTGGTCTTTCATTCCTTGTAATAAAAGCAAAATAATGCAGTTACTGGAAATCTGCAACAAAGACACAAAGTGCTGGAGAAACTTAGCAGGTCTGGCAGCTTCTTTGGAGAAAGAAGCAGAGTTAATCTTTCAAGATCTTTAAACTAAAAGAAAGAGGTGGCAGATATGCTTTCATAGAATCCCTACAGTGTGGAAACAGGCCATTTACCCCAACAAGTCCACATTGCCCCTCTGAACAGCATCTTACCCAGACCCCTCCCCCTATACTTTCCCTGTAACCCTGCATTTCCCATGTCCAATCCACACCCCTGGAAACTATGGGGCAATTTAGCATGGCCAATCCACCTAATCTTTGGGTGGAAATTGGAGCACCTAGAGGAAACCCACACAGACACAGGGAGAATGCACAAACTCCACAGACAGTTGCCTGAGGGTGGAATTGAACCCAGGTCCCTGGTGGTGTGAGACAGCAGTGCTAACTATTGAGCCACTGTGCTGCCCTATTTCATTTTATGAGGAGCAGAGCAACTGTCCAACTGCTCTGGAATGAAAGTTAAGAAAACAAACTTTGTTAATCCTGGTGCAACCCTTCCTCCCATTATGTGAGAAAGCTGTAACAACTGTCCTGATCAATCTGAGGGTTGTAATAGCGGTCTAGCTTCCATAATGTTATGCAAGTTCAATTTTCATTTAAATTTTCATTTCATCTACATAGGCACTACTGACCCATTTTCAAGCTTGTGTTTATAATGTCTGGGATTGTGAGGCGACAGAGTTCTGCAAGTGATTTTAACTGCCCGCCTATTTGACATCTGCCAACCAGGCACAGTTAAAATATGTGAAAATCAAAAATCACAATTATGCCTTTTTATTAATATTTTCTCCTTTCTTTTAATGCAGGAGCTGGAATTTTCCAACCTTTTCGCAGTACTTCATTGTATACACTCCTTTTTTGCTGCTAAAGTTGCTTGCATGGATCCTCTCTACATTGGAAGCCAGCCTGTTGTTGGGAAGGCCAAGTACAGTAACTGAAAGACTCCTTTTTGTCCAGTTTGAAAGAATTGTTGCTGCTCTGCTAAAGATAAATATTTAACATAGCATAGCTGTGATGGGTTTCGATAACATGCTTCGAGCTCAGGAGAAAAGTTGTCAGCTTTCATTCTTCTTCTGTTCCATCTTTTCCAAACAGTCACTTGAATGAGTTGAACTAAAACATCAACAGTTTACAGATATGGTAGCTTTTCTCTTTTTAATGCTGAAATTTTGTCATGAACTACAATCAAATATTATTGTGAGATACTTCCTGAATGAAGAGTGCCACTGATGAACTTAACGCACATAAGATTTCTTATTGAAGATTTCTCTGTGAAAGCACCCCCTCAATTCAATGTGCTTCTGCTTTCCAAAGATGGAAATTTTTATGAACTTACAAGACATTTAAGTGATATGAAAATGTGCTTTATCCAAGATAGAGTTGAGGAATGTGATGATTAGAAATTATGATTCAAATGGGCACAGCAGGTCATTTTTATGTGAAATAATTTTTGTAGTGGAAATGCCCTTATTTTTACAATAAGCCCTGAGTGTTTACTTTTTCCATGTTAAGCTTCTGAACTATATAAATATGAATTCATGAGCAAAGATAACACAAATTAATTCATTGTGATGGGTAAAAATAACAATAATAATTCATTCATCTGTGAGCTGTTTACACATGCTGTGAAGACTGAGATAACATTTCTCTATTATGGCCATCATTAGCTAAGTATAATGCAATTTTAATTCCTTAAAAATATACGCATAAATTCCATATTTATCTGTACATTTTGAACTACAACATTCTGATAAAAGCTCCTGGTGAAATTTTAACCAGATGAGCTGGTTTTTAAAAGAAAATCATCATAGTCATACTACTAACTAAACATCCAATATGTCTTCAAAAGTCCTTCAAACAACTCATGTAAATCGTTCATTGTAAAGTTTCTATAATCATTTTTTGAAAAAATTGATGGCAGAGAAACTTCACAGATTCATAGATGTACTAACATTAAATAACATGATTCCACTATGTAAGTGGACAAATTAAAAACATTTTTGCGTGTGTTCTGTTAATCTTGTAAAAGTGCAAAGATTGATTTCACAAATTGCCCACATGTGTTGCAATATCTTCTGACATGGGTTTTACATTGGAAAATCAAAGAAGTAGACTGGAACATCGCTAAGTAGTAGACCAGTACATCACAAAGTGAAATGGATTTTTCAAATTTGTTTTTTACATTTTTGCCTTTCTGCTTTTGGCTTTTTTTTTCCAAATTTTCTTAGGGACCATAATGTTTTAAAAGAAAATCCTAACAGAACAATGGCACAATATTCCGTGTCTTTTTAAAGAGAGTCTTTATTGTGTGTGTATATATATATAATATATATAAGACAAA